TGAGTTCACTCCATACATGGCACTGGGCGGGCACTATGGGGCCCCACCCGGTGGGGGGAGTTCTCACTCAGTCTGAAGTTCCTCGGGGGCACAGAGCTCTTAGATTGGGGATCCCCGGGCCAGGAGGTAGCCAGGGACCGACTGGTCTCAAGCCCTTGGGTTCTCAGATGCTGCTGAGAGGCCATGGAAGGACCAAGACTGGAGGCGTGTGAGCACATGACCGGCTGGCCCACAGCCAAGAGAAATGAGGAGGGAGGGAGAAGGAAGAGGCCCTGGCAGCGCCCTTCAGGAGAGACTGTACTCGCTTAACAGACTCGATGGCCTGGCTAGCTTACTTGAAGAGGCGGTCCCCATGGCTGAGAAGCTCTCCAGGTGAGAGATTAAGCTACAGCTGCAGCTACGGCGGTGCCATTAAAGGTCTTCTTTGCGTTTTCCCATGGCGGGCCCCAAAGACACAAGAAAATCCATGGTTCCAAAAGGGTTTATTTTCATGGCAGATGTTGATGAATCTTGTAGTGCCCCTGGGAAACTCAGGGCAGACCTGAGTTAAATAGGGAGGGAGAAGAGGGGAGGATCTGGAAAGGAATGCTTAATTGCTACGCCCTCTGGCCTTCAGGTATCTCGTTAGTATATAAATCTCTCTAGGGCCTAAGGCCTGTAGTTATGCCCTCTACCTGTGCTCTTTGGGAGGAGCTGCATTGCCCCATGTGACTGAACAGTACAGGTCAATGGAGTCCCATGCCATGTGTTAGGAGCTTGGATTCTGGGAGTGTGGCAGAATAAATGTCCGTCTCTTGCAGGGTCTCCGGGCTACTTCCAGCCAGCACTTCTACCAAAAACCAAGACCCCTTTCACGGCCCTGCAGAACATGTGTCTCTGTCTCAGCTGACATCACTCTGCAAATCAGCCTGAGTCCACAGAAACAGCAAGAAACTGCAACATACTACCAGAAGCTTTTTGATGCATTTCTCTTTATGGAGTTCCAACAAATGCAGATGAACTACACAATGTAAAGCAGATCAATAGGTGTGTGTTAGCGAAGAATCCATCATCACGTATCCTTACATGTGTCTGCTTTAGCAGAACATCCTTTCACCTGTGTCTGCTTCAGCTAAACGTTTCTTCAGGAGTCGGCCTTAGCCTTTCATACCTGTGTCCACTTCAGGAAAACACTCCTTCATGTGTTTGCCCAAGTAAAATGCCATCCAACACAGCTGACTTCCCCAAGAACCCTTAAGTTTCCACTTCAGAGTATTGTACTGGAACAATAGGATATTGTACTGATCCAATGGAACAATGTAGCATTGTATTGATCCAATGGAACAATGTAGCATTGTATTGATCCAATGGAACAGTAGAGTGTTATGATGGTATGATGCCTGTGGTGATGCACAGTAGCACATTGTGAGGCACTGTACTGTCATAGTGGACATTCTGTTGTCCATGGGGCATTGTGATATCACAGGAGTTCTGCGGTATCACAATACCACATGATGGCACAATGGATCCTTGAGTTATCTCACTTTCCCTTTGTGACATCACAAGGAGTCCTGTGATGTCACATGGGAGTGCTGTTCTGACACAATGATACAATTCGATTGCCCGATGCAATGCCATGATGGCACGCAGATAATATGATTCCACCGTTCACATCACGGTGTCCCCGTTTAATTTTACTTGCATGAGCAGTTTGCCTGCAGGTACATCTCTATACCACATATATACTTGGTGCACTCAGAGGCCAGAAAAGGGTCTTGGGTCCCCCCTGAAACTGGAGTTACAGACAATTGTAGGGTGTCAGGTGGGCAATAGGAATAAAACCCAGGTCCTCCGGAAGAGCAAGTGCTCTTAATCTCTGAGCCATCTCTTCATCTCCCCTTGCTTTCTTTTACATTAGATGCTACAAATGCTTACATTTTAGTTTTTGTAGGTCCAATGATGTTCCCTGTTATCCAGATCATTGGCAAATATTAGCCCATTGATATCTGTGGTGGTTTGAATAAGAATGTCCCCCATAAGCTTATATATTTATTTGAAGGCTTGGTCCTTAAGGAGTGGTGCTACTTGAGAGGAATTAGAAGACACATGGACACCTAAGAGATGCGGGACAGAGAGCATAGCCGCCATATAGGAGCTGGGGGAACACAGCCCAAGAGGGCTGCACATCTGGGTCTGGGGCAGCCAAGATGGAATACAGTAATAACTCAGGATTATCGGTGGGAGGTGGATTAGCCACCTGGAGGTTAGGAAGTGGCCCAACCATGGAGCCATTTTAGGCATATCAAAATATAAGGCCGTGTGTGTGTGTGTGTGTGTGTGTGTGTGTGTGTGTGTGTGTCATTCATTTGGAAATAAAGAACATTGGAACAGGTAGGAAGGAGCTGCTGCAGCTGTCAGTATCAATTTGAGAAGTCATTAATTGGGTACTGCTACACCTACCTCTAATGTTACAAGTAGTAAGTAACCAGAAAGAAAGATACTATTTACCAGATGTCTAGAATCGTCCTGGACATCACACCTCCTGGAAATTTTACCTTTAAATATTTCTCAATCCAGTAGCTTCTAATAGGATCCAAAAACATAGAGCTGGTCATAGGCTCCTTCCCTTAATTTCTAAGGAGCACTCTGATCTCAGGATAAAAATGGAGCCACTGGGTGGTCGGGTGTTTCTTCTGACACAGTTGAAACTGAGTTGATTCTCCATCTTTCTCTCAAGCTTTTGATTTACAAAGGCTTTCTAGCCCAAATGTCCATGTATGCTGTCTGCCCTGCTCTGTTGCATCTGGTCCAATCCTCCAGCCTTCTCTGGGACCTGACAGCAATCTCAAAACCCCATCAGTTACTCTAGGAGGACTCAGTAGCAGCGAGTCTTAGGAATACATAGCATAAGGGCTACTTTCATAAATACCTGCCAGGTAAATCCATAACCGCACTGGGGGCAGGATGGGGGTCCTCTCCTAATTTCTGCTCACATGAGGTCATCTAGGTCAAAGCTTCTTAAATTCTTTCTGCTCATGGCTCCTTTCACCCCAGAAATTTTAGGTGAACCCAGATATATAGGCATATAATATAGGTATACAACTCAAACATTATAATATAAACCATATAGAATTTTATTTTCATTTTATTTTACAATTCCTTGATATGCATCTAATTTTACCATTTATTTAAGACAAAAGCAAAGTCTGGATGTGTTTTATTTAATAAAACATTAAATCTTGGCTGAACATCTGATGCTACATATTTCATAGCTGATTTCATAGTTTAGATATAATTAACGCTGAGAATGCTGCTATAGCACAAAGCAGCAGACGTATGTTTATAGAGTAATCTCAAAGTTTGTTGGAATGTTGTCCTCATCCCAAAAGCCAAAATTTGGTGATTTTTTTTTTCAAATGAAACTCAAGTCAACAACTCAAAAACACCAATTTCTAAAACCAAATATGTTAACACGATACAATCCAAAGCTATACTAATCTGATAAACGCTGGTTGAAATGCTGGTAGGAGAATAGCAGGAACCTTTGTTTCCTGAAATTAAACCATTATATTCTATGTGTACAGTAAAACACTTCGAGGTTCATAGCACAATAGCTTTGAACCTAGAGTATTTCAGGCAGTGCTCTGGACTCTGTATGGCAGTGTAGCACCAGCGTGTTCAGAAGTAAAGCTGAGGTAAATCCAAAAGAGTCCACAAAGAAAAGGCTCCCAGAAACACCACGGATACATTTTTTATTATGAAATAGTTTTTGATCATTGCTGTTAGGTCTCAAGCAAATGACTAACTGGGGTGCCTATTTAACATATCAATGCAGACCTGGGTTCTCCCAGCATCCCCAGTCTCTACCTGTTAGAGGGTAGGGCTAGCATCCTCTGTCCCTTCACTAAACTACTCCAGCCCAAGGGCTAGGAGGAGGGGTGATTTTCCCCAGTTGCCCCTCCCTATATAACCCAGACATTTTTTTTACCCAGTCCTTTTGTCTAGACTTTACTCTCCTGACCTCCTGGCTACCCACTCCTTCCTCTCCTCAGATGGCCAGCCTCAGGGTCAGGTTCACTCTGGACTCCCCCAGATGTCCCTGCCTCTGGCCATGTTCTCCCTTTTATCTCAATAAACTTTCTCCACCATACCTAGGAGCAACCATGTGCTTCCTTTTTATTTCCTTTTTATTTCCATTCAATTGCACGTTCAGAGACTTTATACCGTTATCAATTTTTTTCTACAACCCACACATTCATAGGACTGCATAAGTAGAATAGTGACAGACCACAGATTAAGAAAGTCAGAGCTCAGGGATTCTTATGAAAGAGTTGGGGGAATGATTGAAGGCCCCAAGAGGTCTAGGAACTCCACAAGAAGACCAACAGAGTCAACTAACCTGGATCCTTGTGGGTTCTCAGGAACTGCCAACCAAAGAGCATACAAGGTTGGACACACAACACACACACACACACACAACACACAGTAGTTGTGAAGCTCAGTCTTCATGTGGTTCCCTCAGAAACTGGAGTGGGGAGGGGGGCTATCCCTAAAGCTGTTGCCTGTCTGTGGAATCCATTCCCCTGGCTGGCCTGCCTTATCTGGCCTCAGTGGGAAAGGATGCACCTAGCCCTGCGGAGACTTGATGTGCCCGGGTCGGAAAATATCCAAGGGGGTAGGGGGGTGGGGGCCTCTCAGAGAAAAGGAGGGGATGGAGGAAGGGACTGTGTGAGGGGGAGTCGGGTGGGAGGGGCAGCGACTGGTATGGAAAGTGAATGAATAAATTAATGGGGGAAAAAAAAGTCGAGAAATTTGTTTAGGTTATCCTATCAAGGCATCACATACTGCAGCAACCTGTTGCTGGTCAGATGTCTCTCCAACCTGCGGTCCCCACGCCCATCCCAGGCCAGTAGCCCAGTACACCCTCTCTGTCATTCTCTTGTCAGTGGAACAGATGTGCACCCTGGAAGGTGCCAGACAGACAGGCACTTCGCTAGCCAGCCCGCGCCTCGCTGGGGTCCTTCGGGCCATTGCGGGACAGCCCAGCTCGGGGTCCTGGTGCGGTCGCATAGCAGCGGCAAAGACGCGGCCGAGCCGCTACCGGACTACGGTCGCCTGTAAGCAGGTAAGCCGGCTGCCTTTGCGGTCCAGGGGCAGCGGTGGGCGAGCGCATCTGCGGTGTCCTGGGTCCCTCTAAGCCTTCGCGAAGCCGAAAGTGCCTGGGGAACCCGCCCGAGAGGTGGGGCGAAGGGAAGGCGGAGACCCGGCCGAGACTCCGACCGCAGATCGTGGGTCCTTAACGGGAGATGGTGGTTAGGCCTGGTGGGCGCCTAAAAACGTTTGTCACACGAAAGAGAGCTTGACCCCGTAAAGCGTGAAGACAGTGACAGTCACTGAGGGCTTCCATTGTGAGTCGACAGTCGGGGTTTGGCTTTCGAACCGACCGCTCCCTGTACAGACTGTAGTGTAATTGCAGTGCGCCCAGCTGGCAAAGAATCTGGATTATTGTACATTCGAAGCAGTGTTTGCCAAGTCGTATTTGATTATGAAGAGAGTGGACCAGGCTAGAAATGTTGTTACGCGCTGATGCTGTAGTCCTGTCTTATACGAGTAGTGTGCACAGAACTAACGTACTGTTGATGTTTGACGGGTAAGGTTCCTAGATGCCCTAGTCTCCTATTTACAAAACTGATGAGCAGTTAAATATCCGAGTTTAGGCAGTGCAGGACAAAATCTTGACACGGTATCGTTTGTATCATTTACATTTGGGAATCAGGTAATGTATCAATGTGGTTCTCAACCTTTTGGGATTCTAATGACCCACCCTTCACATCACAGGTCTCACCTAAGGCCATCAGAACACACAGATATTTTCATTACTTATTCATAACAGTAACAAAATTACAGTTATGAAGCAGCAACCGGAATAATTTTATGGTTGAGGGAGTCACACCATCCCATGAGCTACTAACTATATTAAAGGGTCACACGCAGCACTAGGGAGGCTAAAAACCACTGTACTAGAGGTTTAAAAAGAACACATGCAAAAAGGTTTTGAGGACTTACCAAGGTGAAGGGACTGCGAGGCAGATGCTGATGGCAACAGGGGGACAGAAAGGAAGGTGGTCGTGAATATGGGTCAGGCATCACACATTGTATGGTTTGCATCTGCTTGCTTTTACCAAATATCAGATTTCCATATGACGTGGGCACTCTTTGTTGTTGTTTGTTGCTTGTGTTTCACAAGTAAGAAGGCGTATATGTTGAACTTGTAAATCTAGTATGGAAGGTAGGAAGAGAGGTGTGACCCAAACCTACCTGCAGTGGGAAATGACAGGAGACTCTAGAGACAGAGATAGAGCCCTCCGGCTCAGCACATGGTGGCCAGGTTGTCAGGGTGTGTGTCCTTGGGTTCTCTCTCATCAGCTGTTCCGGGAAAAGAAGAAAGTAGATTTAGTTGAGGAGAGTTCTCACCTCTAACAGTGGATTCTTGTTGACTTTTCCAGACAGTGACAAGACTCCAGGGCTGGCACTTGTCTATGGACAAGAGCTAATGGCAGGGGACAGAAGCAAACCCTGTGAGCTGGACCAGGAGAAGCACAATGCTCATGAGAGCGTGAAGATCATCTGTCTGGGGGACAGTGCAGTGGGCAAGTCCAAGTACGTCAGAAAATCAGGGAAGGAAAATCAATCCCAGAACGGCTCTGGGTAGATTAGAAAAGTCCTCCAGAGGTAAAGAGAGTGTATGTGGTTTCTGTGAGCAGGCGAGGGGGCACCTTGACTGGAGCCCAGGTGTGCATGGGCAGATATCAGGATCATGTCAGTAGCTGTGTTCAGGGGGAAATGGGAGAAAGTCAGAGAGATAGAAATCAGGGAGCCTTCTGAGTCCTTACAGAAGCTGTTGAGTGGATCACCCTGGAGATTACCGGTCTAGTAGAGGGGTAGTAAGTGGGATATTACTACCCGTGTGAGGTCGAGGGGTAACAAGTGGGATATTACTACCCGTGTGAGGTCGAGGGGTAACAAGTAGGATATTACTATCCGCATGAGGTCGAGAGGTAACAAGTGGGATATTACCACCCGAGTGAGGTTGGGGCAGCTGGAGCAACACAGTAGGATGGAGAGGAACAGGATAGGGAGAATAAAGGCAGGAAAGATGCTTCCTTAGAGAGACCCCCTGAGGCTGAACGATAATCAACTGTGTAAACGACTGGATTATTCTGCACAGTGCCTGCCTATGCAGGCATAGACATCTCCACTTGGAGATCTGCACTCCTTCCAGCTTATGCATCCTGCCGCTCACCCATTCAGAGTGGGGTGCTGAGGGTGCATGCTCATTTCTCCCTTCGAGGGCTGAGGGGAGAGTTGCTCCTGTGTAAATGTCCACGTTAGTCTCCCACCCCCAGAGTCTGCAGATCACCTCACATTCTACGTCAGACTCGGAGAGCGATGAGTGGTCCCCAGGGGCCTTGCCAGTTTGAGGCCAGCTTCCTGAGCTGACATTTGTTTCTCTGCCTTACACTGAAGCTCAGCTGTAGTATTTTACAGTCGCTCTAACCTCAATAGTACCCCATGCAGAGAAAGTAAGGATTTGGAAGATTACCCAGTAAATAGCAGCCCTTTGTCCACACAGAGAACAGAAGTGTCAAGCAAGGGGAGACCAGTTGTTGGCTTAATAATAGATAGACCTTTAGGGAAATGTGGACTGGCATGAAGTCCAGGGAAGGCCCAGGTCAGCACTAGCCTAACTTAATGCAGGTTTTTTTTTTTAATCTAAGTAGCTAACAGAACATCAAAAGACTAACACAGTTCTGGCCTCTAGGACATTTTGAAGACAAGTAGTTCCCACCCCTTTCATACCTTAAGCAGAATGTTAGAGAGAGACCGCAGTAGACTCTGTGTCTAGAGGAAGGTTGATGGGTGAGAAGACCTTGTTCAGTGTCAGTGGGACTCAGGAGTTCTCTGCCAGTTTTCAGTATGTCTGTGCCCAGAGGCCCTCTCCCGGGTGATTCTAAGCCTCATCATGTTGACGTTTGAAATTATCCCCCATAGGAGTGTTAAAATCTTGGTTTTGTTCTTATTTAAAATGTATATATGCTGTTCCACAATATATATATATTGTGTGTGTGTGTGTGTGTGATTTTAATGTCTTTCAGGGAGGTCCAAGGTTTCTTGTGTTGTTTTTTGTGTAGATTTACTATATAGACTGATTAGTAGTCAGTGGTTATAATAGCAAGAAAAGGTTTCAGGACTGCCCCATGGCTGCAAAATATGTACCAAATTAAGCTTATTAGGTACTCACACTCATGTATTCAGATACTGACTGGGCACCAATGCACTGCCGAGGACATGGGGAAGTAGCAGTAGACTAAAGATTCACAGAAAGCTTCCCCATGCATTCTGTTCCAATTGATAGCGTCACTGCAGTAGTTTCATGTTCGTGTTGAGCTCTGTGCAGGACAGAGAGGGATGGAGGAGTACAAGCCGGGGGGAACTTCTTACCTATCACAGTCACCACCCTACTAGATGACATTTGAGCAAAGCCCTAAGGAATGGCAGAGCCTTGAGAAAATGAATATTGGATGAAGAATACAGTCTTCCGGGCCTCAGCTTCCCTGTTCACAGGCAGGGGTAATTCTGTGTGTAGCAGTATGTGAGATGGAAGTGATGCATACTGACCGTTGGGATGACACCAATGGTCTGGCTCTGGGGACTTGGTAATGGTGATTCCCGTGGCCCGGGCTTGACCAGAAACTGTGTGACAGAGAGTTGGCAAGAGATAGGAAGCCTCAGGTGGCTTCCAAGTTGTCAGCTCAGGGGGTGACAAAGTAGGGACAGAAAGCTAGAGATGGTGCGTGACCTGTGACCTCACACGTTTCCCTTACAGACTCATGGAGAGGTTTCTCATGGACGGATTGTATCCTTAAAGACTTGCAGTGCCCTTTGTTCCTGTGGCTTTTCCCACTCAAGTGCATCATAACCTCCAGCCAGCAGCCCAGCAGCCCAGGGAAGACCAGTGGGTTTCCTTCACACTGGCTCCTCACTGGCTGACCCAAACCACATCCTAGAATCCAGGCTGCTGCTGCCAGAAATCACTTATATTTTATTTCGACCAGGAAGGCAGAAAGAATAGCAGACAGCATTAGTCTGGATCAAATGCCTGGATACAAAGTTTGTCTCCTCATTCCTAGTTCTGACATTGGGTAAATTATTTAACCTCTCTCCTTGGAGCCTAAAACGTCTTCCTTCGGTAGGAAGAAGCTTTATAAATCACAGGATGTCAGCTTTTCCCTCATCTCATCCTATGAGCTGTTGTGCCCTACAGATTTGGAGTAAGGGGCTGCAACTTAGAGCATCTTTTAAAAGTTCCCCAAGTGTTCCCCTGAGGGCTACAAAGGAGAACTGCAGAGCCGATTACTCTCTCCCTGACCTTAGCCCCAGACGCCGGTGCCGTCCCGCTTCAGTGTGGCTCATGAAACTGTCCAGTGTATTTCAGCTTCACAAGATGTGGTTCCCCAGGAATTTCATTAGTGTTTCACACACTCACACATGAACTTCCATTTGTAAATGCTTTGTGAGCTGCCAGGCCTGTTGGTGGTGGTTTTTACCGTGGGACAGTCCTGATGCTCTAGCCTATTAGCACTCTGTCCGTGAAAGTCTGAAAGCATCCACAGTCACACTTTAGAGCATCGTGACGCCACTTCTCTCTAAAATCCTGCTCCGTGTGACCTCACACTCAGGTCTCCAGAACATTCTCCCAGACCCTCCCTTAGACCTTGTGCCACTGAAGCTGCCTCTGTCTGTCTGTAGAATTTATTCAACTTGAAATCTGACTTCTTTATAAAGAGGACAAAGTCAGGATGTCCATGTTAGAGGCTATATTGGAAAACCTGTCTCAACAGAAAAGGACCAGGCGTGATGGCACACACCTTTAATCCCAGGCAGAGCTCTGTGAGTTCAAGGCCAGCCTGATCTACATAGTGAGTGCCAGGCCAGCCAAGACTACATAGTGAGACCTGTCTCAAAAATTAAAGAAAAACTAAGAAGAGGACCCATTTCCCCGTATCCCCGTTCCCTTACCTCTGTTCGGTCACCTCTGCTCCTTAACCTGCATCCAGCCAGCCACAGCAACTGTCCACATATGCTCTGACTCTGTATAAGCACACGGCCACAGTAGACGGCAAGACCATCCTTGTGGGTGAGCAGCATGGGCCCTCAGGCCACACTGAGTGGGGGACGGGGGCGGGAGGGGGTAGGAAAAGAAAGGAGGTTTGTAGGAGAGAGTGAAGGAAGAAAAATTGGAAGTCAGGAAGCAGAAAAGGAGGTGCACAAGGACATAGAGCCTCACAGCACCCAGGCCTGGCCAGGTGTGAAGGGCAGGACTTAGAAAAGCAGACACTGAAAGGCTGTTCCTGCCAGACGGAAAGGAGCACAGAGGCCACTGATGGGGTAAACTTCTCAGTGCAGGGATCAACATTCAGCTTAGTATAAATAGATACGTCTGTGGCCTCACCACTTCTCAAATGTAGGACATGACCTTCTCTTGGGGTCACCAGGCCATATATCCTGACTGTCCACCATCTGTGGAAATTTAGATCTTGAAGGGTCCCATCTTGAGTGTGGGGACAAGGGGCACCTGCACTCCGCCCTCTGGGATTCTCCATCTGCACTGCCCTTACTTCTGTTTCTGTCTTCCTCCACACACCACTGCATTCACACATCTCACAGTACACTCAGGTTTCTGCACAGAGACCTGAATGGAAATGCTTGGCACCTTTGGGGTCTCCCTGCCCCTCAACCCCACTGGGCCGACAGAGTTGTGTTCTTTTTGCAGACTTCTGGGATACAGCAGGCCAGGAGCGGTTCCAGAGCATGCATGCCTCCTACTACCACAAGGCTCACGCCTGCATCATGGTATGAAACCCACCAGGCAGTTAAAGAATATATATGTGTATGGCACTGGGCAGTCTGGCCTGAGGGGTCAGGAGACATGGGATCAGTGGTCCTCAGCCCCACTCCCAAATATGGATGTGTAGGAGAGGGTTGTTCAAGGCCACCCACATGGTTCACCCCATAGCTTCTAAAAAAGAATATGCCAGAGAAGCTGTCCTCAGATGGGGGCAGATAAAAGAAAGCACAGAAACTGGGCTCCCCTGGCCGTTCAGTGTTCAAAGAAAACGTGGCTGAGACAGAGCCACCACTGGTTACTGCAGGAGCTCACCCACGGGGAAACTTCAAGGGCACCTCAGCGATTGCCCACAGCTTCTTAAAGGCCTTTCCCTCTCAGACCAGCCCTCACCTTCCTCACAGACTCTCACTGTGCTATCTAGGATAGTTACCATGGGTGATAGGCTGCACAAAAGTCCCCAAAAGTCACTTGTGCATAGGGCTCTAGTGAGACTCTAAGAATCTGTCTCCTGGGAGTTCCTGCCTCTGAGCTCCCAGGCTCGTTTTCTTAGCCACCACTCTTACATGCTGAGAAGGAATATGTTTTTCTTTTAATCCACAGATAAAACATTTTCATGAATACCAAGCATCTGTGACACATGAGTCAGTAGGCTGATTTGAGGTTTGATTCGGTTTGGTTTTGATTGGGTTTGGTACTAGGGAGTAAACAGGACTGATTTTGTGCATAGGTGTATGCATTCTACCCCTGAGCTGAGCCCCAGTCCCATAGTCTAATTCTCTGAATTAGGAACCCTAGGGACTAGCACCAAGTGAGGACACTTTGTCAGTAAGAGTTGATGTGGACTAGCTCACAGAATGGCAGCTAGACCTCAAGACTGAGTCTATAAACAGACCCAGGTAGACGTCATATTGTTGGGACAGCTCTGTAAGTCATTCTGGCCCTAATCACAAAAGAAGCAGGTGCTGCAGCTCTGATAAGAACACAAGTTGACACCATTGTTGTGAGTCTGCCTACACAATGTAAGTTTGCCCTGGTACTTTTCAGCATCTGACACCACCTCCCTCCTAGCCCCACCTCCAACAATAAACACACCGCTGCTCATCATGAGTGGGTAACCTCTCATCCATAAGGAGTGCCACGAAAGGGGTGCACAAGACTGGCCCATTCTGCTCACCGTCCCCGCCCTCCACTTCTCTCAACTCTCTGCAGTTTATACCCATTCGACAGACATGTTGCTCGTGGTCCAGTCTCTGCTTAGATGCCACCGTCTCTGTGCAGCCTCCTCTGATGTTTTATCATTACATTTTCCTGTGTGCATGCACAGGACTCTGAGTACTTGTGGCACATAGTCAGATAGTGTTGTGTGCACATAGAGGACGACAGTGAAGGGGTCATGGAAGGGACTCATCACCTGTTCCTCACAGTCCTTTAAGCCCAAAAGCCCTTGAGAACTTAAAAAGTCTTAATTCTAATAACAGAAGGTACTAAATAGAAGAGTGTGAAGTAAGGCAAATGAAACAATGGAACCAGAAGTCTCACACGCACACACACACACACCACATACACACATGCGCGCACACACACACAGGGCCAAAGGGTCAGCCTTTTTTGTTTCAGTCCTGCTCTGGCGTTTGTATTTGAACTTACCTCTTTTCTGTCTGAGACTGACTTCCGCTTGTGATGCATGCCCATTAGTTTCTCTCTGGCCCTGTTCTGAAGGTGCTGGTCTGGGTTTGTATACACCTGTTTGGGTGTGTGTTGTCTGGAACTGATAAAGTACTTTGACACAACTGTCTTCTACCCTCTGTAGGTATTTGATGTCCAGAGGAAAATCACCTATAAGAACCTGGGTACCTGGTATGCAGAACTTCGGGAGTTCAGACCGGAGATCCCATGCATCCTGGTGGCCAATAAAATTGATGGTGGGGCCATCCCTGTACCTGGGTGACAGTAATTCCTGGGGACCGACCACCACACATTTCCTTCTCTCAAAGAGTGGGCAGCCTTTGTTTGTCCTTCCCAAGATACTCCCTTTCTAATAAGGAGGCCAGCAGCAAGACCCTGTCCTCCCAAGACACAGACCCCTATTACCCATTTCCAGGGCAGTCCCTGACAGTCCCTTCCCCACTTTCAAGCCCAGAGCCTCCACTGACCCTGCCTCTAAACTCTTCCCTTTGCTGGATAGACAAGCCAATGCCCCGCTTCTCTCTGCAGCAGACATACAGATGACTCAAAAGAATTTCAGTTTTGCCAAGAAGTTCTCCCTACCCCTTTACTTTGTCTCAGCTGCTGACGGTACCAATGTTGTGAAGGTAATGGCAGCCCAGAGGCAGTCTGCTAAAGTGGCTTAAGAGTCCTAGAGTCTCGGGGAGGAGAGGAGAGGAAGGAAGAGGCGAGGACAGGGCGTGGCTGGGTGCAGCAGGGGAGAGAGGTTGGGAGGACCAAATGTGGTGAGACAGTCCACTGCCTGTGGGACCAGGGTGATGAGAGGGTGCCAGTGAGGGGTGAGACTGCGGGTTATAAAGGCAGGATCCACAGCTACACTTCTGCCATTTCTACTTCACCTTCAGCTCTTCAATGATGCTATTCGATTAGCTGTAGCTTACAAAGAAAGTTCCCAGGACTTCATGGATGAGGTTTTACAGGAGCTTGAGGTAAGTCAGGCCCAGTTTCAGGTACGATAAAAGAAGTAGATGATTTCTTCAGAGGTGTGCAATACAACGTAACACATAGGGTTTTGCCTACCTTTGGAACCCCTAACTGCCTCAAAACTATAATTGGGCAAATACAGGGTCAGGCTTCTCCTATGATCTTGTTCACAGAACTTCAAGTTGGAGCAGAAAGAAGAGGATACACCAGACCAAGAGCGGGGTGACATGACCAAGAGCCCATCTCCTTCCTAACCTGAGGACATCCATACATGGCAGAGTTGGGGTATTGGGAGCCATTTGGAAAACCCTACATCTCTGGAGAACCTCTCTAGGCTACCCCTGCTCAACTTCCTGCAAACCCACTGTTCTGTGGTACATGATGAGGTCAACACAAACAAACTAGACAGGCATGATACCCACCAGCTTCCTGCATCAGGAGGAGGGAGCCGTGTCTTTCACATCTCCCCCACCCCCACCCCAGCAGCCTGACAGTGCAGAAACTGAACATGCTCATGTCGTCTCAGTAGACATTTAGGTGTGTGTTGTCTTTCTTCCCAAAGTGACCTCAGGGACTGTCCCTTCATTTCTGCCGAGAGAATGATGCTTACTAGCCCTTGAGGACTGTGTGTCCCTACAGAATCCATCCATGATACCTCTGTCCCTGTTTCCCAACCAACTTGCTCAACAATATTTTTGACAGACAACTATTAATTCCAGATTTGTTTTTTAGTACCAACTGTTTCAGGAGCTCTTCTAGGTCGGTTGAGAGCACAGGAGCAGGACTCTATTGCAGTGGAGTGAAGACAAGTCTAGCCATATCTGCTTATATACACACTTTACTGTTCCCCATGTGAACAAAAACTTCCTCTAAAGCCTCCATCTCAGGGTAGAAAGCTTTCCTCCACCTCTCTAGGGCGAGCTAAACACTGCGTCTTCAGTGGGTGGCAGCAAACAGCAGAGAAGAGCTGCCCTGCTTTTCTGCAGCTTGCTAGATTGCTTTGATGATTGTCTTGAACATCATTTGCATTATCATTATTTTGTTTATATTATTTCCTTTTTTACAATAAAGATTAAGTTTCATAAACACTGTTTTAGTTACCTTTCTATTGCCATAACAAAACACCATGGCCAAGGCAACTTACAGAAGAAAGCACTTAATGGGGCTCACAGTTTCAGAGAGTGAGTCTAGGACCATCATTTTGGGGAGCATGGCAGCAGGCAGGAAGGCATGGAACTGGAGCAGTAGCCGAGGGTTCACATTTGGTCCACAGGCAAAAGGCAGAGAGAACCAATGGGAATAGTGAATGGCAAGGTCTTCGGATCCTCAAAGTGACACACCTCCAGCAAAGCCACACCCCTAATCCTTCCTCAACAGTTCTACCAGCTCAAGCACTCAAACTTGAACTAATGGGAGCCATTCTCATTCAAACTACCTCACTGAGTACCTGTGCTTTGTGGTCTGAAGTAGACAAAAACATCAACCATGTAGATGAAGGAAGACTGCCTTGATCTGCTACCATGCTCTAGTCCAAATTAGCTCTTGGTTGACTATACAGACCATTTCAGTAGAATTTATTGTTTGTGAGGGTTTTTTTTTTTCATTAAATACACATTTGAGATCTCAGGAACAAGTGTGTTTCACCATTAAGTAGGTGATACTTGCATGTTCAACTTTGACTTCTGATCAGAGATTCTCAGGAATGCATTACTCAGATGAGGTAAGATTTTTAGAAAAAATAAATAAAACTTGTTACTGAGCATAGTGGAATATATCTTTAATCCCAGCATTCGGGAGGCAGAGGCAGGTGGATCTCTGAGTTCAAGTCCAGTCTGGTCTACAGAGTGGATTCCAGGCTATCCATAGCTACAAAGTGAGACTCTTCCTAAAAAGAAAAACAATAGTTACTGTAAATGATTAATAATTTAGGAGTGTGTGTGTGTGTGTATGCCTGTATGCATTTGTGTGTTGCTTGTTTGAGCACTGAACCCAGGACCTCATGAGCTAGCTGAGTGTCTTACCTCTGAACTACACTCCAGCCAGTATTTATGTAAATAGCTTTATTGAGATAGATTTCATGGACTCAAAAATGTGCCATTATTGGCTTTCCCATAACTGTTCTGTATTAGGTTTCCTTGAAGAAGAGCCTGAAAAGACATTTTTTAGATGACCTACTGGGGATGCTTTCTCAGCTGAGTGAAGGAAGCAAAGTGAGGTGAGAAACCAAACAACTTCTTATCTCAGCTGAAGGTCAATATTACCACCACCTCCAACCCCTGCGACAGGAGGAAGGACAAATTGTCACAGATTTGGTCCTGCCTGAAGACCAGAGGACTGTCAGCAAGTGCACGAATGAGGCACAGGAGATAATCTATATCCTCCAGGGCAAAGTGGCTCCGACTTTAGCTCGGACACTTCTCTGGGGAAAGGGGAAGTTGCATTTCTCCATCAGCACTGGTATTGAGGTCAGAGGACTTATGGATAACTACTGCACAGCCACTGTCATCAAACCACATCTTTATAAGTTTTATGGGGGTCCACTGCCACACTTTATGATTGAACTGGTTTTTGAAGGGACTAAAATAGACTAAATAGGGATGCAATGTCTGAGGTGAAATGCTCATGGCTAACCTTCCAGTGCATTCCATACAGTCACAGTGTGTTGATATATCTGCCAATTCTGTGTGGCCCCATCACTCCAAAGTGAAGTCTGTATTGGTAGTGTCTGTTCTCTCTCTCTGTGGATTTATTAATTCTGAATATTTCATATAAGTGAAATCATACAATATGTGACTTTTTGTGTCTTCCACTTTCAAAATTCATCCAGAGCAGGGCACAATGGTGCATGCCTTTAATCCTAGCACCCAGGCTGAGGCCAGCCTGGACTACAAAGTGAGTCCCAAGACAGTCAAGACTGTGAAGAGAGATCCTGTCTCTGCGAGAGACAGAAAGAGAGACAGAGAGGAGAGAGGGAGAGATTGATTCATCCATGAATCATGTACAATGTCTCTTTCATAGCTTGACTGTGTTCCATTGTGTATATATTCAACAATTTATCCATTCACTGGTAAATATTTGACCTGTTTGCAACTTTTATCTATTGAGAGTACCATGGAGCCAGGTGTGGTGGCACTCAAGAGTCAGAGGCAAGCAGATCACTGAAAGATCAGGGTCGGTCTGGACCACATACTGAGTTCCAGGATAGGTATGGCTACACAGTGATCCCCTGTCTCAAAACTTTAACAACAAGGAAAAAATGCAAATTTTACCACAAGTAGATCAATATAATCTTAGGAATTTTAATAACTTTATTATCAAACATATATCACCCTCAAGTCCCATTCTTCACAGACTTTATACAATATATTCAGACCTTCTGTGACTTGGCTTTAACTTGTTCTTTCTGTGGTTTGAATGAGAATGGCCACCATATACTCGTACATTTGAAAGTCTGGTTCCCAGTTGGTAGAACTACTTGGGAAGGGTTAGGAGGTGTGGCCTTGTTGGAGGAAGTGTATCACTGGAGGTGGGTTTTGAGATTTCAAAAGCCCAGTCACCCTTGTCTCTGTGGTCCCCCTACTTGCCAAAAAGTATATAAGTTCTCATTTACTGGCCCAACACCAGGCCTGTCTGCCTACCTGCTGCCTGCCTGCCTGCCTGCTTCCTGCCTGCTGCCTGCCTACCTGCCTGCCTGCCAGCCTGCTGCCTGCCTACCTGTCTGCTGCCTGCCTGCTGCCTGCCTGCTGCCTGCCTGCTGCCTGCCTACCTGCCTGCCTGCTTCCTGCCTGCTGCCTGCCTACCTGCCTGTCTCCCTGCTGCCTGCCTGCTGCCTGCCTGCCTGCCTGCCTGCCTGCTGCCTGCCTACCTGTCTGCTGCCTGCCTGCCTGCCTGCCTGCTGCCTGCCTGCCTGCCTGCCTGCTTCCTGCCTGCTGCCTGCCTACCTGCCTGCCTGCCTGCTTCCTGCCTGCTGCCTGCCTACCTGCCTGCCTGCCTGCTTCCTGCCTGCTGCCTGCCTACCTGCCTGCCTGCCTGCCTGCTGCCTGCCTGCCTGCCTGCTTCCTGCCTGCTGCCTGCCTACCTGCCGGCCTACCTCCCTGCCTGCCTGCCTGCTGCCTGCCTGCTTGCCTGCTGCCTGCCTGCCTGCCTGCCTGCTGCCTGCCTGCCTGCCTGCCTGCCTGCCTGCTGCCTGCCTGCCTGCCTGCTGCCTGCCTGCCTGCCTGCCTGCCTGCTGCCTGCCTGCCTGCCTGCCTGCTGCCTGCCTGCCTGCCTGCCTGCCTGCCTGCTGCCTGCCTGCCTGCTGTCTGCTGCCATGCTCCCTACTATGATGGTCATGAACGCACTGTCTTGGTTTCTATTGCTGTGATGAAACACCATGACCAAAGGAACTTGGGGAGTAAAGGGTTAATTAGGCTTATGCTTGCATATCACAGTTCATCATCAAAGTCAGAACAGGAAGTCAAGAAGGGCAGGAATCTGGAGGCAGGAGCTGATGCAGAGGCCCTAGAGGGGCGCTGCTTACTATATTGCTCCTTGTGACTTGCTCAGCCTCCTTATAGAACCCAAGACCACCAGCCCAGGGATGGCAACATTCACAATGGGCTGAGTTTTCCCCATCGATCAATCACTAATTAAGAAAATGCCCAACTGCTGGATCTTATGGAGGCATTTTCTCAATTGAGGTTCCCTCCTTTTCGATGACACTAGCTTTTGTCAAGTTGACACAAGAGCAGCCAGCACAGTCACCCTCTAAAACTGTAAGCCTCAAATAAAGTCTTCCTTCTTCAAGGTTGCCTTGGTCAGGTGTCTCTCCATAGTAATAACACAGTAACTAAACTGATTTTTCATTCTTAGTACAAAAATCTTGTTTTCTTATATAAAATCATCAAAAATATGACCTCATACTTACATCCTTCTCAATAATTCTTGCATACACATTTACTACTTCTTGCCCTAAATAAAAGCCAAATCCAAATACCAGGCACATTACAGAGAATTAAGATTACCTATAGCCATAATTTTATTATCAAGCTTTTTTCCTGTTGCAAATCTCAAGCAAGCTTTTAATTCCCTTGGAATCATTTATTTTTCCTTTTCTGTGGTTAGAAAAAAAATACGCATTTTGACAAGAACCTTAGCACATTGTCAAAATGACCCTGGATGTGACAGAATACTCCCTGAGAACAAGAAAAGGCAGAAAAGAAAGCACATACAGTGCCAAAACTCTCCACGTTAGCCCTGGTTGGTTTCAGTTTGAGATGACAAAGGGTATTTTATTAATGTCTTTTAATCCTCTGCAAAAGTCATGTGGGGCATTATTTCTTGTTTTCATTTTAAGACAGGGAATTCTCTTGTGAAATGTCCCTTCTCCCGTCATTTCTGCCTCTAGAATCTTCTTCCTTTCAAACCTCAGCCTTTTGTGAGTTTTCACTGTGTTTGGCCAGCTGTGCCTCATAAAGTCTAGCTTCACCATCCCACGTCCCTCTTCAGTGGTTAACCCCAAACACTCTTCTCATCTGATTCTTTTGCCTTTCTAGAAATACCATAGGCCATTCTTCTTTTCCCTATTACATATTAATTTCCCTATTGTATATCAAATGTTTTATTTGTATCCAGTCTAAGACTGGAGTACTGATTTTCCAATCCCCTTTATGGTCAAGTTTCAAAGATTTCATACGTGGCTTTGATGAAGCTCATTGTTATTATTCCATGTGGGTTGTTGGTTGGGATCTTTTTACCTCCCTCATTATTCCCCACCCAGCCACAGCCTTCCTTTTTTTATTGTTCATTTTGTGTTGTTGTTGTTGTTGTTGTTGATGATGATGATGATGTTTTAAGATTACATTTATGAGTATCTTGCCAGCATGTACATCTGTACAGCATGTGGGCTTGGTACCTTCAGAGTCAGAAGAGGATGTCAGAGCCCCCAGAACTAGAAAGGTGGTTTTGAAACACCATGTGCTTGCCGGGGACTAAATCCAGGTCATCCACAGTGCTTTAAACTGCTGAGACATCTCTCCAGCCTCAAAGAGACTGTGATCTCTGCTTAAGTAGGAACCTTGGCTTTTTAAAAATATTTTATGTGTGTT